TCATCAACGACCCCCTCTCCTCCGAGCGCGCCGTCACCTACAGCATCCTCTGCAAGGACGGCGAGACTGCGATGGCGGACGTGCTGCCCCACATCGTCCATTCTGGTATGCTTGTTCCAGATCTCCGCTCTTCGCTCTTATAATGTGATTGTGTGAGGAGCGAGATTGTCTGTGAGGGACCCTTCTGGATTTTGATACTATGTAATTTTAATCTAATCCAGCAGAGTTGGAGAAGAACCCAGGCTCCCCTACACTGAAGCGGCAGGGTACGCATTGTTCTTTACTGAATTCCTCACGAGTTCTCCCATCAGTTTCTCGTTTTGAACTTCTCTTGGTTCTGAACTTCTGTGATTTCAATTGCAGAGCGCGATGAAAACCCGGAAGAGGAGAAATCTCTGTCCCCACCCATGAAGCATTGCGGTAAAGCACACCTCCCTCTATCTTTTTAATCCCAATATTCTCCACCCTGAACATGTTGTAGTTCACCTGAGCAACTGTACTTTGAAATCTGTGGTCAATGATTTCTCCTGAATTGTTTAGTCACTGCGCATATATGTTCTAGTTCACCTGCGCAATTCTACTCTGATGGTTTATGATTTCAATTGAATTGTTTATTCTCCACCCTGAACATGTTGTAGTTCACCTGAGCAACTGTACTTTGAAATCTGTGGTCAATGATTTCTCCTGAATTGTTAAGTCACTGCGCATATATGTTCTAGTTCACCTGCGCAATTCTACTCTGATGGTTTATGATTTCAATTGAATTGTTTATTCTCCACCCTGAACATGTTTAGTTCACTGCTACTGTACTATTAATCTGTGGTCTATGTTTTCTTTGATTTTCTTTGTTTTATTCTTTCTTGCAGAGCAATATGATGAAGAGGAGGAAGACATTGTGGACATCAAGGTGGAGCAACTGGATCGCCCGCCGCTTCCACCGCGTCAGGTCATCGGACCTGACGAACATGGGTTCAAGCGCTACGTAGACTATTCTTGGGTGGGGAATCGCAAGGTCCGGACAGTGACCACCACGCGAGTGCACAAGATAGCAACCGTGCGCGTTAGCAAAAGGGTTCTGGAACGCCGTAAGACCTGGTGTAAGTTTGGAGATGCGGAGAACGATGACAGGGAGATAGCGAAGATCCGGCTTCTAAGGACAAGTACATCCGGCATCGTGAAGCTTGAGAGGCCCCCAAACTTCATCCCAGCAGCCAGTGTCCCTTCAGCCCCTGGGCTGTCGCCGACGAAGGCAGCCTCGGCTGCGCGCGAGCAAGTTCTTGCAAAGGGAGGACCGGCCGTGGCTGCTGCCAGGGCGGCTGCGGCAGCGGGAGCTGAAGCCCGCGGACTCGACGTTTACCCAGGCGATACCAAGACAGGTAATCCCTTTTCCAATCAAACTCTCTAATAAGCTCCACAATTTCCAGTTATTCATTTTTTTGCTGACGGTCTTGATCTTCGATTCTTATTCTCGTACAGAGAGTGAGTGCTTCGTGGTCAGGATTGATCAGTTACCGTTGGAGTCCACAGAAGACAATGTTCGCGTGCTGATGGAGCAGTTCGGTGGGGTGAAGCATGTGTTCATTGCAAGACACCCGAGGACCAGAGCGTCTCTTCGGTATGCGTTTGTCTACTTCTTCGAGAAGGAAGATGGAGAAGCAGCGGTCGAAGCTCTCTCTGATGGGCTGGAAGCAAGGGTGGTCGGGATGCTTACATGTTAAACTGTCCGGTGGGAATTAGTGTGGCAGTTAGAGGTTACTGATGTGGGTTGTCCAATTGGTATTTCTCTAGATAAGAGTCCAGTCTTTGTTGTGGTATAGAGTTCAGTCGTGTTGAGATGAACTGTCCAGATAGAGTCCAGTGATGTTGAGTGATGTCAGACCACTTGCGAATGAAGTTGAATGGTTATTTGCCTTGTCCGTGTGATGAATTTGTGTGAGTTTCGTGGATACTATTGTTGTGTTCTTATCACTTTTAGGATGAATTAGAAGCTTGTAATTTGTTCAACTGATAAAACTGTTTGTGTATCATCTTTACTAAGTTAAACTATCCTCTCAGAAGTGCGAGGTAAGAAAGGCAATCTACTTGGCAGAAACTAAGTGATTGAAGAAGTGTTTTCAAGTATGCATGTAGCACTAGATTGATGCCGTGCTCTGAATTTCTTTACTCATGCTGCTGCTTGTTTGCTGTGAGCGATATTGAAGTCCTGGGCAATCAGCTGAATTGTCTTTCTTGGGCATTTTTCTAGTACAGGTCACAACTAGCCAAACTGGTGCTGCGTGCTGTTTGGTGGAAACATCTAATCATGCAGATAAGTTTCCTTATGCTTGAGCAATGGTTGGTCAGGCTACTCCAGAGTGTGGAAACATCTGTTTGCTGTCGAATAGAAATACTGGTCATCTTGGTTTAGACTTTTACACTTACAAGCTACTCCAGAGTGTGGAATTATGCGGTGCAGTTGCTCACTTTGATGCTACCATGAAGGCTTCAGTTGATCATGTTATTACAGGAGCTGCATTACTGACTGGGAAACAACAAAGATGATCAGTTTACAACCAAACAGATGCAACTCACTCAAGTGCTAGTTCACTGTATGTTAGATCTAGGCAATGGATATTCGTTGCTTATTTTGTATTGTGTTGATGGCCACCTAGAAAATGAACTCGAGCAGGAGCTTGCTGTACATGGCTGGTGCTTCTTCAGCTCACCTTTATCTGAGTGGTTGAAGTATGGTAGTAAAACTGAAGAAATGCTGTGATCCGGGTGGCCTGGAACTGCACTTGTTCAAGATGGTATTTCTTATCAGGATAGTGTTGCCACGGGACCCTGAAGGCTTAAATTCAGTGGACGCAAATGAGTTCCCGTCTGACAGAGTGCAACCTCTTTTTCAAAGGGAGGAGTATTACGGTCCTCGCAACCTTCGTCGACCACAACTACTACCTCTATGCCGTCCTCGGGCCAACTCTAATGCGCGACCCCAAATGGTCCGGCCGCATCCGTTTGGGGGTAAAAGGACAGAACAGGCCGCCCAACAACCGACCCCATTCCCGGCCCAAAGTTGGGCCACGTTTGCGGCCGAATGGACACGCGCGAATGGGCGAGGTGCACGCCCTAGTCTGGCCTGGCCCGCCTGTCGGGGACACAACCACTTTTCTCTTCCCCGTCTCTTCCCTCTGCCCTCCGCCTCCGCCGTCACCGCCGCCAGCCCTATTCCTGGCCGTGTCGCCTTCCATCAAGGTCGTCCACCCCCACAACCATGCCATGTCATAGTTGCCCCACGTCTGCATTTCGGTTGAGTTTTTTTGCCGACGTTCATGGTTCCTTGTTGGCGGTGGGAGAGAGGCTACGGCCGCCGGCGCCGTCCGTTGACCCAAACAACTACCGGCAGGTGCTCCATTGCCCCAGGCCGCCCACCCCACCAATGCCAGCCTTGCTTCGCTGCATTGACTCGCTCTTTCCGGACGCATCTCCAACACGACCGCAAGGTGTTCCACGCGTTGCTCCCATGGTATCATGAGTAGGGGGGATGAGTTTTTCTTTCACAACTTCATTTGTTCAGGATGATTCGTCATCGGATGATGAAGACATTGTGACGGCTGCATTGGTCGTCCACGACCACATCAGTAGGAGTGGCTCGGTTCTGGGGATCAATCCCCGGCCATGTTCCGGCCTTGAACTGCAATAGGAGGAGAGGCCACACCCTTCTCTATGCCGATTACTTTGAGAATAGCGCACTCTTCAAACCACACAAATTTCGCCGCCGCTTCCATATGGCGAGACATGTGTTCAATCGTATTTGGGAGGGAGTGGTAGCATATGACCCTTACTTTGAGTGCAAAGAGGATGCCCTTGGCAAGCTTGGCTTCTCTTCTTACTAGAAATGCATTGCGGCTATCCGCATGCTTGCGTATAGAATTCTGGTGATCTTGTGGATGAGTATGTTCGTATGAGTGAGTCCACGTGTCTCCTGTCAATGTATAGTTTTTGCAAAAGCGTAGTGGCAGTGTTTGACCTTGAGTATCTGAGAGAGCCAACTACCGTTGATACAGAGAGGTTGTTGGCGATCACTGTACCGCTTCGGGACTTAAGTGAGTCACTGAAGGGTGGGGTCCACCCATCGGGTTTTCTTTTTAAAACCCGACCGAGGCACGTACGGGGGAACTCCGGCGAGGGCTCACCAGCGAGGAGAGGGGACGGCGGCTTGCTTGTGTTGGCCCACTGGAATGAGGGCTCTCTGGCGAGTCTTCTCGTACTTGTTGCGTCGCCGGAGGCGGTCGGACGACGACGATTGAACTCCGGCAAGGAAGCTTCAATTGAGCTAGCTCCGGGGTTGGGCGTGCTCAGTGGAGCAAGGAGAAACTAGTGGTGGTGGAGGCTAGGCTCGGGGTGCCGTGTGTGGAATGAATCAAGCTAGGCTCGCCGGCGGCAAAACCTTGCCGTGGAGAAGGGCAGAGGGTGCGATAGCACGAGGGCGTCAGCCAGCAATGGTGTAAGAGAGGGAAAAAAGAAGGTGTGAGCTGAAATGGAGGCCGGGGATCTCTGTTTATAGGCCGGGAGGAGGAAGGGGGCCCTGGCGCCGCCACGATTGGTGTTGACGGCCAGCCGGGCTTGCGCTGGCCTACGGCTAGCTTGGTCGGGGCTCGGGCAGGAGTCAGAAGGCCAGGGGGAAGCCACCAAGGTCCTCTGTGCCGGCCTACAGGTCGCGACACCACGCATGTCATGGCCGAACATTGGCCGGAGCCACGGGCGTGCTCGGCGGAGGGGGCCGGCTAGGGTGGCGCGGGCTAGAGGTCAGGTAGAGCTGGGACGCGTGCGGGAGGAGCGGGGCGTGGCTCTAGGAGCCGGGGACGCGCTACGGTTGGGTGGTCGTGTGGCCAGTGGCTTGGCGCGGTGCAGCGCGCGCTGTGGCTTGCCAGACCCGTATCACCTGGCCAGTGGGTTCCTGGGTGGCCCTGGCTGGATTTAGCCGTGTCTGGTAGCTAGGGGGATGAGTAAATGCTAAGAGCAAGTACAATAGAGCTGAGTCAGTGGGCTATAAGGAATAAACTAGTATATTTCCGCTTAGTTGTAGGAAAGAGAAGAGGAGAAAGAAGGTAAGCGGGCTCTTCGTAAAGAGCCAGCTCTAGCACATGCTCCTAGGCACTTTGTAAGAATGAAAGGTGAGCCACATAATAAAAAAGTAGTACACTCTTTTGATCTACTATTGTACATGCTGACTATAAGATGGGCTGTAGATGACATGGCATTGGCTTATAGCCAGCAGCTGGCTATACTATTAACCATGCTCTAAGTGTGGCTGCAGTTGGGTTTTCAATGTGAGTGAGCTGCCAGCTGGCTCTTCTGGAAGATTCTGACAGCAAGGTGTTTGTGCTATGCTGATAGAGGAGGGAGTGAGGTTTAGGGCTGATTTTTGGGTGAGTGTTGTTAGTCACTAGGGTGATCATCTTCACCAAGTTTGAGCTATGACAGACCAAGCATTAGGGTACATGTTGTTCAACCTAGGGTTTGGATCAGAAAGGTTTTTGAGGAAGAGGGGCTCAAATGAAAATGTGCCAGAGGGTCTTGGTTTCATTTCGGCTTGCGTAATGGTATAAAAAAATTGCGAGAATTGTTTGGGCATTTTCAGAAGGGTTTAGGAGGGGGTTTCTTCACAACTCAAGATATTTGGCTAGTGTTCTTTCTTTGAAAAAGAATAATTTCACTAAGAAAAATACCAAGTTAGAGCGAGGGCTAGATTACTTAGTTAAACAACAGAAGGGGTTGAGTGTTGACTAATTATTTAGGTGGTTTAGTTTGTTAAGTCCAGAAGCAAAGATTCAGAAAACTCAAAGGCAGAACGACAACTGAAAATTCAAATGCAGAAACCAGAAAAAGAAAGGAGGTAAACATTACACTTGCTGAATCTACTGTGATCTTGCCCCTATCAGGTATGACTATTTGAGATATTTCTGCTTCATAATGCTTCAAGATCCACTGGCTAAGATCACCCGTCATGCTTGTTGCTGCTATATCCAATAAACCACCGAAGTCTATGTCTCTGATGAGTTTCATTTGATCAAGAACCAGCCCCTTGTTCAACTTAAAAAGCCTTGCGGGTGATGCCCTGTTCCTAGGGCCCTGTGAAATACATAAAAAGAAAAGGAGAAATGAAGGTTGTTAGTTGAGGATTATCAAGCAACTTGTGTTTTACAAAAAAAAATGGCTTCGAAATTAATTCTCGTGAAAACTTAAAAAATCTAGCAACTGACATCCTCATTTCAAGCAATTTGTGTTTCTCAGGTAATGGCTAAGATTTTGGCAAAAGCAACTTGTTTAGGGACTTAGTTTTAGCAACTAACTCAGAATTTGCAAGCAACTTATGTTTTAACAAAAACAACTGTATTCAAAAATTTAATTCTCATGAAAGACCTAAAAATCTAGCAACTGATATCATATCTTCATTTCAAGCAACCTGTGTTTGTCACGTAATGACTAAGATTTGGCGAAAAACAACTTGTTGTTTTACCAAAACAAGTTCATTGGCTTAGTTCCAGCAACTAACTGAGAATTTGCAAGCAACTTATGTTTTAACAAAAACAACTGTATTCAAAAATTTAATTCTCATGAAAGACCTAAAAATCTAGCAACTGATATCATATCTTCATTTCAAGCAACCTGTGTTTGTCACGTAATGACTAAGATTTGGCGAAAAACAACTTGTTGTTTTACCAAAACAAGTTCA